CGGGCACTTCACGCGGGTCGTTTGCGCTGAAGCAGCGTTTGACGGTTTTTGGCTGGAAATGGGGTTTGTCGTGTGAAGCCCAGTGTCTGCCCCCTTCGCCGGGCAGCACCTGCTCGTGAGGCACGGCGGGGCGTGCTTTGCGGGTCGGGAGGCCTCTGCTGCTGCGTCCGTTGGTTTTTGGTAACTCTCGGTATCGCTTGCTTTTGTACAAACGGCTGGAGAGCAGGCAGTAACCTGGGTTTGCTGGATACTTGATCTGTGTGACTTTTGCTCTTTTGCAGTTACCTTCTCTTTTTACTCCCTGGCTGACAGAGCTGCTGGCCTCGTACCAAAACTTCAGAGGACCCAGGCTGCCAGACTTGGGTGTCCTGTCTTGCTTTGCGCTTGAGATTTTGGTTGTTGAGTTGGCATAAGTATGAGGGGGTTTGCTTTTTTCTGAGCTTTCACTAGATGTCTGTAAAAGCACATGAAGCCCAGTTTATTGTTACCGTACCCTGGCCAGCAGAAAAAAGGTGCCTTTTTTCAGAATTGCATCCACTTGTCAAGTTGGTTGGCACACAAAGGGAAAAGTTTCTTATTAGTGAAGCTCATGATTAGCACTTACATTTCTCTATCTCTCCTTGCCTAGATCGAGCGATTGGAAGTCAGCAGCCTAGCGCAGACCTCCAGTGCGGTGGCCTCAAGCACTGATGGCAGTATCAACGCCGACTCAGTTGACGGGACCCCAGACCCTCAGCGTACAAAAGTGGCTATCACCCACCTGCAGCAGAAGATACTGAAGTTGACTGAGCAGATCAAAATCGAACAAACAGCCCGCGATGACAACGTGGCGGAGTACCTGAAACTGGCCAACAATGCAGACAAGCAGCAGAGCGCCCGCATTAAGCAAGTGTTTGAGAAGAAGAATCAAAAGTCAGCCCAGACCATCTTGCAGCTGCAGAAGAAACTAGAGCATTACCATCGAAAGCTGCGAGAGATTGAGCAGAATGGGATCCCTCGGCAGCCGAAGGATGTCTTCAGGGATATGCATCAGGGTTTGAAAGATGTTGGAGCAAGAGTCACTGGCTTCAGCGAGGGAGTAGTAGACAGTGTAAAAGGTGGGCTTTCCAGTTTCTCCCAGGCCACGCATTCGGCAGCAGGAGCTGTGGTTTCCAAACCCCGGGAGATTGCCTCCCTCATAAGGAACAAGTTTGGGAGTGCAGACAACATTGCTAATCTGAAAGACTCCTTAGAAGAAGGCCAGGAAGATGGGACAGGAGGCAAGGCTCTAGGCGTTATTCAGAACTTTCAGTCAAGCCCAAAATATGGCAGTGAAGAGGATTGCTCCAGTGCCACGTCGGGCTCAGTGGGAGCCAACAGCACCACAGGGGGCCCTGTGGGAGCCTCTAGCTCCAAAACAAACACTCTGGATATGCAGAGCTCAGGGTTTGATGCAATACTGCATGAGATTCAAGAAATTAGAGAGACACAGGCAAGACTGGAAGAATCGTTTGAGGACCTAAAGGTTCGCTATCAGAGGGATTACTCATTAATAATGCAGACTTTGCAGGAGGAGCGGTACAGGTATGTAATTTGCACTTTGTTTTACAGCTAACTGCTGTGAGTTGCAGAGCACCAGGGTCCTGGGTAGTGCTGCTCTGTTCCCAGCGGCCTGGTTCAGGTGGGAAGCTCTGTGGTTTTCTCAGGATTTCTCTGCTACAGCTTGATCTTTTGTAAATATTATCTTGCTGCTTATCTCCCCTTCTGTATAAGAAAGGAATAGCAAGGAAAAAAGTTATTTCATAGTATTTTCAAGATAAAAAGTCAAGCCAAAGAGATTTAGAAAGGTGTCCCAAAAGAGCAGGAGTACATTGATGTGGTTACTGTTATCCAGACAGTGCTTTGCCCTGCAAGGATTTGGGCCAAAGCAAGAGATGGGGAACTACATGTGGACAGTTCCTGACCCTGCTTTTGTAATGAGGCTGCCCATGGCCTTGGTCCCCTGGGCCAGGCTGTGGAGCCCAGCAGAGCTGCTGGGGTGGGGGCAGCCATGTGCCCCTTGCTGCCCTGGTTTGCACAGCAGGACACAGAGCTGCCGTGCAGCTCTTCAGACACACTGGTGCCAGGTCACTGGGAAAACATTTGCAAGGGCTTAGCCTGCTGGGGTCCTGCAGAGACAGCAAGCTTTCTGTGTGCTCCACAGAGCTTGGACAGACAAAGACCAGCACCGCTTTCTAATCCCACTCTGCAGCAATCAGTGATTTGACTGACACCGGTGCCCAGCACAGCAACTTTGGTTCCTAGTGCCTCGTTGTCCTGAAGTCGTGTAACGAAGCGATGCGGAGTTTGATCTTCCGCTCCCAGCACAGAGGGGTCCTGTTGTCTGCTGCTGTGTAGGTTGTTGTTTCACACATACAGCAGCAGCCATTCATGGTGCGCTGTATGCAAGCACAGTACAGCTGAAGGAGTGGCCTGAAAGTACAATAGAAGACCTTGGGGACTGGTGGATGTTGTCAGCTAAAGTGACTGGTTATTCCCTGAAACCAGGGTTCTCGTAGGTCCTCACACCAGCCCAGGATGAAGTCGTATCTGTCTCATGCCGTTAACCTTTACTGAGTGCTCCCCTGAGGTGAGCCGAGACCTAACCACTAACTGAGGCAAAAGCTTCTGGGAGAATCTGTATTTGGCTTATAAATGCATGAAAAGAGAGTAATTTAGACCCACCACTAGGAATGATGATGACACTAATTAAAGGTGTGACCTTTGAAGAGGACCAGTTAAACCACACTCCGTGCCCTTGCCTCTGCAGGCTTTTGGAGGTGAGCACATAACTGCATGATCTGGAAGGAGCTCATGGGTTAATTGCAGTGAGATTAATACCTTGTTGTACAAATACAAAGTCTTCTTTGGTAGCTTCTGTATTTTAAAACATCACGAAGATAAAAGCCAACATCGTCCTAAGGACTGGAAGGGGTTGTGTGATGGACTGGAAGGTTACGCGGTGTGTCTGGGGGCACAGAGGCTGCCGCTGCCTTGGTGGAGAGCGCTGGCACGTCTGCTCCCACCAGGAACCCTGGGGTTCCTCAGCCCTCTTCAGAAACGGTGAAAAGATGGGAATGGAGGTTGTGTTTTGAAGCTGGGAGGCTGGGGATTCAGATTAACCATAACTGGATTTTAAAAGCCGTGAGTACCTCATAACTCTGCTCTATTTCTGAGACTGTTTCAAAAACAAGCACTGAGTTCAGTTAGAGTGTAAAAAGAGAAGTATTTTGGAGAAGCCTTTGCTCATAGGGCAACACTGAGTATTTGGGTTGTACCTGGAAGCTGGCACAAAGCTGTGCTGTGACATTTTCTCACCCAGTTTTTGTCCATTTCCTCGTTCCTAGATGTTCTACTTTTACAGGTTCTGATCCTTTTTCCTAGCGTGTACATGGTTTCTGTTTATCAGCCATGGCTCACCTCACAGGTTTTCCATGGCCTCCTCCATCTCCTCCCTTCCCTCCCTCTCCCTGCTTCCAGATCTTGCCCATCAGTCCCCGTAGCTGCCGGTCTGCCAGGGCCAGGGCTTGCTGGTCCAGTCTCTCCAGTTCTAGGGCAGCACGTGCCGGCCCGAGTGCCGTGCCGGGGGCTGAGTCACTGGGGAGGAAGGTTCTGGTGGCGCCTGAGCCGTCACCGCGCTCCTCCCGCAGCCGGAGCGGGTGCTGGCATGGCCCGGGCTTATCTCATCGGCTGGAAGGTGCTGGTTGTTTACTGATACGGGCAGGGACTTTCTGTGCTGTTGAGACTGAAATAAAGGTCCTGCTGAGGATTTTCATTTTGCGTGTCCCTTCAGGAACCTGTCTGTACACGGTGAAATCATGAGCTCACATATTTGGAGCGTGGCCAGTCTGAGGGTTTGGGTTTCTTCCCAAGCCCGGTGTCCATGGAAAGGGCATTTAGGTCTCCCACGCTCCTGTCAGGAGAAATCCTTCAGCCAAAACGCTGGACTCTGGTTACGCAGAAAAGTGGCTGTGCTGGAACCTCTAATCTAGAGGCTAGTAATTTTAAGGAGAAGTTTCACATTTTAGCTAGTGAGAAAATAATTCTTGGACTCCAGTGAGGAATTTTTTTGTACATGAAATAAAATGGGATTTGATAATTCGGGACACTGCCATGTTCACAGACAAAGTCAGGGTCTGCTGCATAGACACTGGCATTTGTATGTTGGAGAGGAAGGTGTGAGTGTACTCCCAACCCTCTTGACGAGTGTCCTGTCCTTTTATTTTTGTAATACCTCTGGGTTAAATGTGAACCATCCTTCAGTAGGAAAACACTGGCTTTGAGCCGTGTAAGTCACGTGAACCCCTCTTAGCTTTTCAAATTTGAACTCCAGTAGAAAACAGCAGGAAAAAAGTCATTTTCTAAATTGTAGATAATGGGATGAGGAGTGGAAAGGAGATGGATGGAGGAAGTGTGATTTCAAAAATAAGTCTGGGTAGGTTGTGGTGGGTTTTTTGTTTGTTTCTTAAATAATCCAGTTCCAGCATTTGCCAAACACGGCAGCTTCTGAATGTGCAGGTGATTCCTGGGTGCAGACTGCGAAGTTCTGGGGCTGAGCAGGGAAATGAGCGGTGGTTCAGGAACAAGCTGGGGGGGCTGGAGCCAACCTTTTTGCTAATCGTGTTACACTGAAACTCTCAACTGTACGGATTTGCAAGATTTCCTTGTGTTTCCTGTAGATTGAAGGGGTTTTGAAGTTACTAAAATACAATTGTTTCTTGTTACAGAGAACAGGATTTAAGCCGCCTGGCAACAGCTGTTTTATGAAGGGCATCTATGTAGGAGGAGGTTAAAAGACATAATCATGATACTTTCAGAAACATTCAAAGTCTCTTTTTCTGTAATAAACCCACTAGAGAATTTTGTAATATATTAACAAACTGAATATATTTCAAGTAATTGATGCTGCCTTGGGGACTTCGAGTGGGTTTAGTTGTGATTTCTTGGTTGTTGACGAGTTGTTTTTTGAGTTGGGTGGGAACAAATGTCAATATTAATTACCTGGGCTCCTTCATTAGCCAGTGTCACATGGCTGTTTCCTCCTTGCACCTCGTCGTTCCTGGGAAACCAGTTCCCTGGTGCATCCCGTGGGGCTGCGCTGCGAGTGGCACCGCTGGGTTGTGCTGCTCTCACTGCTGTCCTCAGCTCAAAGCAATAGTGCTTTGGGAGTGTAAATGGAAATTCTCTTCAGGCTTTTCAATTAAAAACAAAAGCCCTAGACTGCTGTCAGAGGCTACCCTGTGCCTACAGATCCTGAACATTTAGCTTATGAAGCACCAAAAAAACCAAGAAGCAGTCCTCCTTTCAGAACTTGTAATTAAATTCTACATTCTAGACAAATATTATTTACTCATTTTATGCACATGTGTGTGTATAAATTAAATTCAGATGGAGTCAAAGGGGAACCTAAATTAAAGCAAGGAATTATCTCTGTGTTGTTAGAGGTTTTTCAGTTATTAGTACCGAGGGTCAGATGATAAGAGCTGTACAGTGAGCTGTTTCTGCTGTTACGATAAGTAGACTGGAAAATCCCCAGCAGCCACAGTACCTGCACCCACACCTCAGTCACCACCGGTGCTGTCGACGAACCAAGGAGCAGCTGTGGGCAGCGCAGTGAGGGGTGGTGGATGGTGCCCAGCTCCCAGCTGTGGGCTGCGCTCTCTGTGTTTGCCCTGTGGAAGCAGTACAAATACTGCCTGATTATAAAAGGGTATTGAAGCATGAGTCGCTTGTAAATTTGGACTTGAAATTCCTAAAACGAAATGCTATGTACAAATCTAAAGTAACTCTAATGTATTTTAAAAGTGCTAAAATAACACCGTTGGAGCTATCATTGAAGTCAGTTTGAAACTCCCTCAATGAGAAACAGAACTGTATCTCTGAGCATTGTCGTAACTCAGTATTTTGGGCAGTGCTCTTCCTCAGGACTGCTCCCCATCCGTTCACCAGTAGCAAACTGAAAAATAAGCCTGCAGGTTAATGATTCATGCGCCTTCCTTCTAAATAACGTGATAATCTCTGCTAGTTAAGATGAATCATTCGTGACAGATAAAGAAAAAATAAGTCACAGATACCCATGTGATCTCACAGGGGCATTGTGCTCTCTGAGCCATTGGTCACATTTCATTTCTGTGTCGTTTTTACGCCTGTTACCATTCCAAGTGTAGATGAAAATGCTGAAGAGATTATCGTATTAGAAAGGAACTGTTTGGTTTAAAAAAAAGCTTGGGGAATAGCTTACTTGATGCTAACTCTCTTTGATTTCCTGCGTCACTGTACAGTTGTCATTCAACCACTCTGTGTGTTTTTCCCCAGGATAGAAACAGGGTTAATATCACCCTATCTAGTAGAAAGGATTTCCAGTGAGAGCCTTCCGTTGTAATGCGTGTTTTTGTGAGAATTGAGGTAGCCACCCTAGTTCCAGTAAAAAGTCTATGATGTTCATTGCTTGGTGGTTACTGGTGTAATTTTGCTGTCCTCTTCTCATTAAAGCTGCTGTACCATGTGTATCATTTCTAGATGTGAACGACTCGAAGAGCAGCTAAATGACCTGACTGAGCTCCACCAGAATGAGATCCTCAATTTGAAGCAGGAGCTGGCCAGCATGGAGGAGAAAATTGCCTATCAGTCTTACGAGCGAGCCCGGGACATCCAGGTGGGTGACAGAAACAAGGACCCTCAGGTGCTGCCCTCCACCTTCTCTTTCTGTAACTCATTTGCTTCTGAAATACTTCTGTGATTCAGTATTTGGGTTGAATCCTTGTAGCTTTATTGCTAAACTGCACATTGAGGAGTTCTGAAAGGGCTTTGCTCCATCTCCAACCCTCGGGTGTCTCCCGATCACTCTGTGAGGAGGGGCTGTGCCCATGCACCACAGGGCCCATCTGCAAGGGCTGAGTCCAGCAGCCCGTGGCTGTTGGGCAGGGTGGTCTTTGAGGTCCCTTCCAACCCAAACTGTGCTGTGATTCTGTGACCTTCAAGTTAAGTTTAAAATAAATAATTGTCAGTGGACAGCGGTGCCGTGGCCTCCGACAGCGAAGAGGAGGCTCTTCTCTGGGGGATGTTACAATGTTCTGCCACTTGGCCGGGAGCAGTTTTTAAATAAGTTGTAGCAAAGTGGAAGCCTGCGTCCACTCTTTGTACAGAGTTTTGTAGGGTATTGGAAACTGATGGGCTGTGACCAGAATGCATTTTTTACAGTTGTGTTCCCAGTAAACAGACCCTAGGGTGTGTTTCTGTGTCACTAATTTTAGAGCAATGGTCACATATGTCTAAGGAAAAATGGCTTTGTGTATCCACTGCACTGAGTCAGGAAACAGTTCTTTGTTGGTTTTGCCCAAATAAGGAGATACTTTTAAAAGAGAATTTTCTCTCAGTATGTAAAAGACCAAAGCTATGGAAACAGAGGTTATGAGGTTGGAGGGCCTTCCACAGAGCAAAGGACCTGGGAAATTATCTGAGCAGCCACTAAACCTTATAAAGAAAGGCCTATTCAGGAATGGGTCTATTGTCCATTTTAAGTACTTGTTGTGCTCATTTTAGCAGGCATCTCAGTTCTGATCGCTGACGTGAGATGCTTACAGCGTGACAGAGCACTGTAGGTCGAAGTTCTCCTCCTTCCTCCCCCGAGACGCCCCAGGCCGGTGATTTCCTCTGGCGATGGGGCAGGCCGTGCTCTTGGCACGCTGGTAGATCCAGCTGCAAGTCCAGTCAAGTCAACATCCTTCCTGGTTGCTCGCTATTAGAGAGTGCTGATCAGCTTGACCCTGTACTTTCAGGGACCACAACTGAAGAGAAACCCTTGTGTTTCATTGACCTCCATAAGCGTGGAATGACAGAAATGTAACGGGGTGTTTGGCCTGGAGAGAAGGCTCTGGGGAGACCTTAGAGCCAGCCTTCCAGGACCTGAAGGGGCTACAGGAAAGCTGAGGAGGGGCTGTTTACAAGGGATGGAGTGATGGGAAGAAAGGTGATGGTTTTAAACTGGAAGGGGGCAGATTTAGATGAGACATTGGGAAGGAATTCCTCCCTGTGAGGTGGTGAGGCCCTGGCCCAGGTTGCCCAGAGAAGCTGTGGGTGCCCCCTCCCTGGCAGTGCCCAAGGCCAAGTTGGACGGGGCCTGGAGCAGCCTGGGCTGGTGGAGGTGTCCCTGCCCATGGGGGGTTGGACTGGGGGAGCTCTGAGGTCCCTTCCCACCCAAACCACGCTGTGATTCTGTGACCTTTAAGTTAAGGTTAAAATAAATCAGTGGCTGTGGACAGCGGTGCCATGAATAAAGAGAATGCTCTTCCCTGGGAGAATGTTACAATATTCAGGTTTTGTTCTCCTCTCTGATTTAACACAGCAGGAAGAAGTAAGGTTGGAGGCTTAAACTGAAGTGGGGATTTCTCAATAGCTTTTTTAATCTTTGTTTTATGATTCAGTGCTTTCAGTGTAAGCTTGCAAATTGGGACAGACTATTCCTCAGCATTGCTGGGGAAGACAGGTGTTACATTTTCTTGGATGAAAAACTAGTGAAGAGCATTGTCTGATGTTGCAGAGGAACAGTGGCAGAGCTCTGTGGACAAGGCATCTTGGTTCCTGTTTCAGTGATTGGTCTGAGAGAGGCTGCTGCTTCCCACAGACCCCACAATGTTACCTGAAGGTGGCCTGTAGGTCTCAGGCCTTTTGGTCTGAGGAAAGCAACCCTGAGAGAGGATAAATGGAAAAATTCTAACTTTGTATCTCCAAGGGCAGAAAAGTCTCATGGCGTTAATTGCCTGGAAAACCGTGGCCCTTCTCCCTAGCCCACCCACAGCACATCACCAGTGTTGTCTGTAGGTTGGGTTGGTCCACTTGAGGTTCAGCACAGTGAAAAGGTCTGAAAACAATCACGCCCGAGTCAGTGGTGCTTTAAAGATGGTGTTTTGTACAGGAGAGTCTCCTCCTTCCACGTGCTTGTGCTCTGCCTCTTCCTAGAGGCAGTTTCATGAGTTCACGCTTCTTACCTTCACCTGGACATCTCCCTTCCCTGGCCCCTGTGGTGTCACCTGAGGCTGTGCCAGTGCCACAGCTTGCTGCAGTCTGGAGGAGATCCTCCTCCTGTCCCAGCCCTGGTGCTCCTCAGGCCTTTCCCTGAGCTTGTTCAGCTTGCCCAGCAGACAAGAAGTGGCCAAGCCTTTCTTGTTAACGTAGTTTCCTGCAGTATGGTGGCCCACCTCCTGCAGGGCCCGTGCTGTGCGCGAGGCGGGAAGGCGGCTGTGTCCGGCCCGGCGGGTGAGGCCCGAGCCATGGCACGGTGCCACAGCCCCGCGCCGTGTTGTTGCTGCAGGAGGCGCTGGAGGCGTGCCAGACCCGCATCTCCAAGATGGAGCTGCAGCAGCAGCAGCAGCAAGTGGTGCAGCTGGAGGGGCTGGAGAACGCCACGGCCAGGAACCTGCTGGGGAAGTTCATCAACATCCTCCTGGCCGTCATGGCCGTCCTACTCGTCTTCGTCTCCACCGTGGCCAACTGCGTTGTGCCCCTCATGAAGACTCGCAATAGGACGTTCAGCACTTTACTCGTAGTGGTCTTCATTGCCTTTTTGTGGAAGCACTGGGATGCCATCGCCGGCTACTTGGAACGGTTCTTGTCCTCCCCCAGATGATGGCGGCAGGAACAGGCTGCGTCGCCTCCTCCCAGCGCTCCCAGTGAGCAAGCGTGGCAAAGATTAGTCAGCAACTTCTCCGCTGAAGTTTTAAAGTGTCCGAGTGAATTTGTTTACATTTAGAATAACGTTTTTTCTCTGCGAGATGCATTGCAATAGTATTTTTTAGATTTTATTCAAGAACTCTTTTTGGCGAGAATCCTGAATAATTTTTATGTAGCATGGTCTCTTTGGATGCAAATCTTAAGATTCTTTAAAGTGTACAAAAGAAATAAATAAAATTCAGAAATTTGGAGCATACCAATGGGCAATTTAAATTGTGGCTTGAACTACTGTACTAAACCTGTCAGGAAGAGGAGAACGTGGTTAGCTTAAGATGAGCAAAGCTGAATCCGATGGTACCACAGCAAACCTGTAACACTAAACTTTTACTGTGAAGTCTGCTCACATTCCATGTCCAAATGTATGCGCTCAGAGTGGTTTCTTTCCTTAACAAGAGAAAAGCAGCGACGTGTGGATCTCTCCCAGCGCAGCGCCTGGGTTCACCATTCGTGCTAACCTGACTGGCAGTCACTTTCTCTGAGGCTGGTGAACTCTGCTCAGCGTTTGCAGTGGAAGCCTGGTGCCGTACACAGTAACTGCACGGTCGTGCTACAGTATTTTGAAGTAGTCCTTGAAATACCTTTAAGCAGAAGCCCTTGGTCGCACTTTTAAGGTTTTTTTTATATATGTATATTCACAGATTTAAAAAAAATCCAAACAGCATACTTGAAGAGTGTAATACTCAAACTCTCAGTGCTTCCTTATTGTTTCTAATAGGATTTTTTATTATTATTATTATTATGATTATTATTATTATTATTATTGGGGTGGGTTTTTTTTTTTGAAGGGGTTGGGAGGGTCATTACTTTTTTTTTTCCTTTTAAATAAAGAAGTGATGTTTTTAAATGAAGAAATGCGTGAATAATTGTGAGCCGTCCTGTCCTGAAACAGTTTTGAGGAGGGCAGAGAGTAGTTTCTAGTGCCAGCCTGTCTGGAACGCAGCACTATTCATATGCCATTTACCTGTCCTCCTGAGCACACAGATGCAGCATCATGAAAACGTCTTTCTTCTCCACACGTTTTTGTCATGCAGGGCTTCTTTTTCTGTTTCCAGATGTGAAGGAGAGGATGTTTGTATTTCTCATTTCCACGTCATCTCTCACTCCTGGCCTCAGGATAAGAATAAGGATTTCTTTTCATCCCTTCCTAGGGAAAAGACAGGTTCTCTTAAGGAAAGAAATACTGAATCAACAGTCCACTTGAAACAATGATTGTCTCAGAAATATCTCTGATTTAATTTTTAAATAACCCCCTAAAAAGTGAAACCAAAGTTTTCCTCCTGTCAGGCTCTGGTAAGACCATTTGTGTGTCTGTGTTGAGGTCTGTACGCTGTATCTGCGTGGTGTCCCATAGGGAGCATCCTCCTCTTCTGCCATGGAGAGGTGTGTGGTGTAGATGCCTTTCTGAAGCTCTACAGGAAACGTCGGCCTCACATGTAACTCAAGTCCTAGCAGCAACTGTTGTGACTGTTGCCATTGCTGACCTGTGCGACGGGCAGGCTTCGTGTCCAGGGAATTTGCCTTCACCCTGTGCTGGTTTCTAACTGCTGTCCCTTTCGCCGCAACAAAGCTGGGACTCGACTTCCTTCTCCATTAAACCCAAAAAGACTCCAGGATTCTCTTTCAAAACCATTCATGGTGTTTAGTTAGATGTTACTGTTTTCCTTCCAGGCTTAAGTTCCCTCTAGGAACCAAATGTTGCCCAAGTGACCTAAAGCAGTAGAAATCACACAGATATGGAACATGTACATCGTAACGTACATCATATATATAAATATGTATACACACAGGAGCCTCGGCCTTTCTGCTGTGATACAGATTCTGGGTTCTGAGAAGTCCCCTCAAAGGAGGGCAGTGGTGTTGAGGGTCTACGAGCAGAGCACGTTCTTGGCCACCAACCTCTTCCTTCCTTTGGAGGTCCCGTTCTGTCTGTGGCCGCAGCAAACTCAGGTACCGCTCTCGCCAGGATCCCAGCGCACCTCCTCGTCACCATGTGCGCCAATCTGCTCCTCTCCTTAAAACACAAATTGCCAACTGCAACTGGCTCAAGCCAAAAATAACGACGCTTTCCACAGGGCTGCAGACAGAGCAAAGCCTGCAGAAACGTCCCCTCCCTGGGCCGTGCTTCTCACTCCAAGAAACTTGATGCTGTTGACCACCCTCTGGCTGATCCAGGTTACGTGGGTAACCATCATCTTCCCATGACGTGGTTTTTCTCAGAAACAAAGGTGTGAATAACAGTGGGAACTGATTTGGCACATAATTGAAAAGCTTTGTTGCCTTTATTTCTGAAAACTGGCCTTTGCACCTCTCTTTTTCGAAGTTTTGATCACAGTGGAATTGCTGGTAGTAGGTTTTCATGTGGTCAAAGCAGGAAGGAGTTGAAAGCCAATGGATCTGGACACTCAGTGTCACTCATCCGTAGCATTAGAAAGAAGTGTTTGTCCCTCTTCTTCTTTATATCCTCATTTCATTTAGTGTCTGCACTCTGCCATCTTCAGTAAACGTGATCTGCTGGTTTGCCAGAAGGCGCAGGCTCCATAGAAACGTATCACCTCAAAGCCATTTGGTGAAGCCATGCACACGTGGTTCTGGACAATGTCTGTCTGTCTGTCTGTCTCGGCAGTTTCTTCCATTCCAGAAAGTTGTCTGCAGTGATGCCGTGTGTGATGCTGCATCCACTCCTCATATCCTAACACAACTGCCATGTGTTTTGCCTTTTGCATTAGCAGAACGTTTTGGGGTTTTCCTCAAGGTCTGTGATGGTTTCTGATAGCTTCACAATGCCTCTTGTTGGAGATGTGATTTAGCTTTAAAGCTCCCTTTCCTGTCAGTGGTTGTGGTTGCTTTCTTGACGAAGCGTTTCTGGGTTTGCCGTGGATGCGAGTGTGTGTGAGGACCTTCCATTGCCTTCCTTAGGGACGTCAACTTTCCAGTGACCATCTCTGAGTTGCAGAATGTTTCCCAAAACATTTCATATTCAGAGTTGAAACGATCCTGAAATCGCTTGGTTATGTTTGGCACATATCAACTTGGCATATAAAAGGGAAGAATAGAATGGACTGTGTTAGTTCAAAAAGCAGCAGCGCTTCATTGAATTGTATGGTTCAAATGAAGTTCATCTCTTTACCCCCTTTACTTTCTCAATGTAAAGAAGAAAGAAAATCTTGATGCAAAAAAATTTACCGTTTTAAATTTTATAAAGTTGTCTTTATAAAGCCTCATTAGTTTAGTTTAATGATACTCAGCATGCTCACAGCAATTATTTCATTGGTTTATTCCAATCCCATGGGTTATTCGGGACTGATCAGATGAAATGTTGAGTTCTGTACATGTTGCACAGGGACAGAAAAGCCCTGTCTTTCAGCTTTGAAAATACGCATTTTTTAAATTAAAACAGCAGCATTATAACAAAAGAAGCCAAGCTACAAAGTGGTTCAAGATTGGGTAGTTTTGCCAGTTTTTAAGTGAATTCTGAATGTGGCTAAAGAGTTAAAAACCCTGTGTGTCTGTGTTGTGTATGCCAGATGGTATCGTAGTAGGCAATTGACTTAGCTGTAAGTGTGTTTTAAAAGTGTAAAAAAAATAAACAGAAAAACTCACTTGCACGGGTTGAAAAGTACGGAAATGACACTTGTGAACGTAACACTGTAGTTTATAGATCTTAAGCTGCTAATTGTTGAGAGAGATTTACATTTGTCTTGTCTGATTGTCGCAGATTTATCTGTGACACTTTTACTGTATATAAAAAAATTAAATAAAGACCTCAGCTATTAACACTGGCCTAATTTGGATGTTTCCGAAGGGACAGGGGAAGAGGGGTGGTCAGGAAAACAAAAAGAGGGGTATGTTAAAACTGTGCTGAGCCTTCTAACAACCTAACATTTGGGTAAGTTCTCCATAGATCATCATCCTGTAACCAGCTCACAGCACAGCGCCTGCTCCCTGGGGACGGGTGAGCACCTGGGTGGCGTTGGTTGGGCCACCGCTGCTAACGTAAGTATTTTGTCTGCCACAATTCAGAGGAATTTCTCGATTCTTTGTGTTTTACAAGCTGGGAGTGAGCAGGTTCCCCGCTGATGTGGAGAAAACTCCTGTTCCTCTTGGGTTTTGGTTATGTGGCCTTGAGGTCACAGGTCCAAGAAGGGAATGGCAATGGGTTTCTTAAGGGGAACGAGACAGAGTCATTTTCTCTGTTTTCACAAGAAGATGCAAGAACTGTAACACCAGCGAGAGATCAGAAAGCAAGAGCAGCTGCTGGCAGTGGTTTTCTCCCCACAGCCAGAATGCAGATCCCAGCAGGTGATGGACAAAGTGGGCGTGTGGGTGTTAAAATGGCTCAGCACCAACCCGAGGGCTTGGTGTCCAGGGGCAAAAGCAGGGGCCTGCTCCCGTGCCAGCAGTTTTAATGCCATCATTCAGGGAATGAGGAGTTGTTACTCAGCTCTTTGGATCATCAGTGGGAAGTGGTTTGGTGGCTCCACCCGGGTCCTGGAGGACAAACAGGGCTGTGGCAAGGGCTGTGCGGGGCTGCCACGGCGGAGGTGGAGGATTGGCTGGGAGCAATCGTTCTTCCAGGTCAAATCATAACGCGTTGGTGTGTTGATAGTGGAAATTTGGGCAAACAGGCAGCTCCCTACTACAAGACTTCAAGTTGTTTCTTAACAAGTGCTAAATCCACTTTCTCCTTCAAAAGACAGCGTTGGTAAGTGGTTTGTTGGGCTCAGTGGAGCCTCCCCACTGGCTGGAGTTAAGCAGAAATGGGAAGTGGGTTCCGCTGCCTGAGTTAGCGTGAAATGGGGCATCCCTGGGGAAACCGGCTCTGCTTCATCCCCTCTGAACTGAGCGAGAGTCACCGCGTGTGGGTGCTCTGCCCTTGCGGTAGCCCTGGCCCAAAGGGGCAAACAGGGAGTGCTGCTGGAGAAGCAGAGCGGAGGGATGAGAAGCTGCGGTGCCCTCAGCCCCCATCCCTGGTGCGGGTTTGCCTGCGGCCCTGCCTGTGTGCAGCCGATGCTCACCAGACCTTGCAGCCGAGGTCTGAAGGAGTTTGAAGGTTCCTCCAGTACCTACACAGAAGCACTTTGCTCCCACAGGGGTTAACAGTCAGAGCTCTGCCAGGACAGCCTCTGGAGGACATCCCTGTCTCCAATCTCATTGTGTGAAGCAAACTTTTATGTCTCACACTGTGATACACAGGGAGCGGGAGGAAGTGACCCGCGAGCCCATCCGGCCAGCACAGAGCAGGGTGAGTGTGGCCGTGTTGCTCCGTCTGCACAGCTCCTCGTTTCCAGCAGGTTCGGGCCTTGCTGCCACACTTGCGCATCCCGCCGTGTTTCTCCAGCCCCTTCACGTGAACACAGGCTCCGGTCCGGGCGGCTCCCGGCCCTCCTGGGCCTTGCTGAAAGCGAACCGGGAAGCACGGCTCGTCCTGCCCTGGGCACACACCTGGGTATTTGGGAATGAACGTCCTGCTCGTGTGGGCAGGGATCCCCACGGGTGGTGCGAGGAGCAGGTCTCGTTTCCCTGGTGGAGTGCTCATTGGCAGAAAAAAATCTTCCAGGAAACATCCCCCTGATCCTCTTGATCTCCTCGAACCCTACTCGCTGTCGTGCGTCCTGGGGCACGGCTGTAACCGCTCCGGCTGCTCGGGAGCTCTGGTTCCGCCCCTTCCCACCGCTCTCCTTCGCAGGAGCTGTCGCTTATTTTGGATCAGCTC